GTGCTGATCTTCCTTGAAATGATGAGTCATAATTTAAAGGCTTCATTTTTTTTAGTGAGACATCAGTTAGGAGTCTGCTTTATTGCAGATTACCTTTTTTTTTTCCTAAGGCAGAGACAAAATATGCCATGAGGTGGAAGGAAGGGGAAGAGTGAAGTTCATTAAGTTGCCACTATTGCTCATAGCTTTTCATTTGTTGTATATTAAATTTTATCTTAGACTACCATATTAAAGAGATACGGTAGTTTATGGACTGCTTCACTCAGCTTTGTAAAGCCTGAGGAAATTAGCTATCTCAGAACACACTTGGTACACATAATAGATCTGTTTGATTTTTTTGGCTCTGTTATAACTTTGTCATGGGTGAACTGTTGATTCTCATATTTTAAGGCCAGTTGCTAAAGGCAGCTATTCAGAAAGGTCTTACCCTGGTTCAGTCACCTTTTTTTTTTTTTTTGGTTCGTTGTTTGTTTGTTTGTTTTTTCAAAGGAGACTACAAGTCCTTTTTTTCTCTTTGTGGTTTATCAGGAACTTTAGAAAATGAATTGCTGTTGCCTTTTAATGCTTGATTCATCCTATATTCCTTTAAATTTACAAGACAACATTCCATGTAGTGCTTGTTCTAAGAGCTTTTCTGAGCTCTTTTCTGATCAGTCTTGAACAATCCTACTTGCCAAATTGGCAGTGGGCAAATAAAACGTTTTTAATCAGTAATAAGTAGGAACAATTTCTGCCTTGTCCAGTAAATCTTTGTGACAGTTCTGTAGCATAGTATAAATGTAAAATAAACTTACCTCATAGGAAAAAAGAGGAATTTTTGATTGATCTGCTCTTGTAGCACTGGTGGGAAAGTAAATCTTTAAGTTACTTCAGTTATCTAAAGATAAAATCAAAAGGATGTTGTGTCATGCTAGCTGGAGGATTCAGATTTTTTTTATCAGCCATGTATGCCTTTTCATTTTTGTTGGTGGCATGGGATGTGCTTCATTCAATGGAATTTCACATTTATTTTTCCAGATTTCTTTTTCAGATTGAGAATGATCCAAATCATAACCCCAGGGGAAAGGGACTTTCAAATAATTCAACATTTTTAGACGTGAGTTTCATGTAAATAGAGATGCATCTTTACATGCTTAGCTTGTGATTGCATTGATTCAGTAGTGCGTGAGGACATGAAAAAAACTGTGATAGCAGTAATGGCTGGCATAGCGTTCAGTTACTCATCGTGCCTGCCACGTGGCTCTGCCATGCCTCTCATTAGAGCAGAGTTGCACTCATCTCTGCATGGTATGTGTTTAGGTTTGATGTTTCCTTCTGCACTTAGAAATTGCCTAGTAACATCTTGTATGCATAATAAGGACATATTTAATATTAATCAAACCCAGCTTGTCCCCACAGTCTGTTCTTGTGTTCTGTTTTGCACAGCCTGATAAGCACCGTGCCCTTTGTGATGTTCTCCAATCTGAATGCCAAACCAAGATGCTGCAGTAAAAACTTGATTCTCTGCATTCTCACAAGTTTGTATGCCTGTGCCCTTTTTTATTATTATTTTTGAAGCTTTGTAAGTATCTCTGGTGTGCAGGCTTACAACTCATTAAAGGGGGTCTCACTGGGTGTTCGGGTAAGCTTTTGTGATAGGGTGGACAGTATACGGTTTTGTACGTAGCTTCATGGACAAATGTCTTTACTGAAAGGGTTCTCAGGCACTGGAACGGGCTGCCTAGGGAGGTGGTTGATTCACCATCCCTGGAGGTGTTTAAAAGACGGCTAGATGGAGTGCTCAGAGATATGGCTTAGTGGTGGACAGGTGCGGTATGATTCTATGATCTCAAAGGTCTTTTCCAACCAGATGATTCTATGATTCTATGGAACCAAGCTCGTTGGCCAGCACTGCAAAGATCAGGTCTGTGATATATTTTTACTGGGTGTTTAGTTCTCAGTTTCTACAGAACTAGGTCTTGCATAATGGGCAATCGGCCTTTGTAATTCAGAACTAGTAGAGTCTTTCCTCTGAGAAATGTTAGTGTTTCTAGCCGTGTTAGCTGATGTTCATTATAAAGATCAGGAACTACACCATAACATTTTTCTTTTTTAATTTAGACTATGCAAATCCTAAAAAAAAAAAAAAAAAAATAATTTCAAGTTATTTTTGCAAATATGTGCTTATCCAGTAGAAATGTTACAGACAGAGATGTGTTACAGTAATAACTTCAGTGGAACAACATAAACTTTTATCTTTGACTAACATTAACAGAAGAACGTATGTTGGCAGTGTGAGCTGTGGGCAGGATAGCTGACAAAATGTAGACTCATCCGGGTTGGAAGGGGCCCGAAGAGGTTTTTTTGTCCAACCTTCAGCTCAAAGAAGGGTTAATTCTGAGCTCAGACCAGGTTGCTTAGCTTTTTTTCCAGTCAGTCTTGGAAACCCCTGAGGGTGTTCTGCAGCCTTTCAGCATCTGTCCCAGTGGCTGATAATCCTTAGAGTGAAAATATTTTTTTTTTCTTTTTTTTCCCTCCCCCCATCCAATTGTAACCTTCCCCATTTCAATTTATGATACTTCTGGTATTATTCCCTCCCATACACTTCAGTAAAGAACTGTCTTCATCTTCTTGGTAATCTTCCCTTGTGGAGGCTGCTGTTAGGTCCCCCTGAGCCTTCTCTTTGCCAGTCTGAACCCTAGTTCCCCGGGCCGAAAGAAATTTAGATTACTTTGAAATCTACATGTACTTTTAATTTATTCTCATTTTTATTCTTTTGAAGACTGATTGAAAACTGATTGTTTTTAAAGTAGCACACAACCTGTATGTCATATCCTGCCAGACTAAGTTCAAGTTAAATGAGATTTAAAAGGAAATGGTTTTGCCCATTGATTCTAATATGAAAATTATATCTGGGAGCTAGGAGAATGGATTGATAATCCTGACATCTTTTTGTATCCATAGTATTGTACATGAATATTTCAGAACAGTTGAGTCACCTTTGCCAGCTCTGCTCCTTGTTGATTTAGACACGAATGCCGTTGTATTATGACATAACTATAAGAACATGGTCATTCATGGTAGCATACCAGATTAATATAATAAATATTTTCCACTTATGCTTTTTAGATATATTAAAGTAATGTAGGTCTGATGAAGTCACTGAAATAATCTCCCTAGAAAATAATTATGGTATTATGCTGTCTGAGCTTACTTTTTTGTTTGTTTTAGAATTCATCTGAGTTAACAAAACAGAAACAGGAAAGGTGGTTTGAGTAGTTAAATTAATGAAATTTTATGGTGAATATGATAGGTCTGCCCAATCCAAACGCAGCATATAAGCGGCTAATAATATTTATGGAGCTCCAGTTCAGTGCCTTTCGGTGAGCTGTTAGCTAATAAAAATTCTGAAGTGTGCAAGACTGGAATTCTTGGGTTTTTTTTTTTTTGTAGAACAGACACTTGTATTTCATGTGCTTTTTAGAAGTTGATTTTTGTGCTAACTCTTTTTCTAGAAAACCGAGCTCTTGACATCCTTTATCTGAGAACCTGGAGCAGCAGAGAGACAGTTTTTACAATGAGGAGAAATTACCTGCTAAGTAAGTTACATGCCAATGTGTGACAGCGATCTGTGATCTTTCCAGTTGGGGAAAACAGCTTTTAGTTGTAATTCTCTGCTCTGTATGTAAAATGAATCATTTGCTGTGGCAGTAGGTGATCTAGATATACTAGACATGGGGACAGGCCTTGGGTGAGGTAAACGGGAGGGTTTGTACCCATACATGTAATTTCCATGCTGAGCAGTGATCAAACTCAACTCAAATATTCAGTGAAATAGGTAATCCTACTTTTTTGTGTGTTTCAAAAAATGTGAGGATAGGGTTAAGTTCTCTGAGTGTTCTAGGGGTGAGATAACTGGTAAATTGGAAACATCTGTGTACCTAGGCAGATTAAATATATATAGGTATACTTAGGTATTTATATTTATCTCTGGTTGTCATTTTATAGTGTGGAGCCTTGGAAAGCTGCCTGGTATTTCAGGTGAATTTGAAGTGAAAGTTCATTATAGTAAATTAGATGTGACTGTTTTCCTTTGTGAGTAAACTTTGCATTAAAAATGTGTAGAAAGTAGTAAAGGTAACCTGCTGGGTATTTGACAACAACCCGAGTACTGAATTATTGACCATTGCTTTATATTGCTCATTTACTGATTGATGGATCATTTTACACTATAATATTGTTACTGCTTGGAAAAAAAAAACAAAAAGCAACATGTTCAGCAGTCTCAGTGACCTCTGGAAAGGATAATTTGGTTGACATTTTACCGGAATCTCCTTGACTATTTTTGTTTACAAAACCTACTGAATATTATAATTTTTTTTGTAGTTTGAAGCTATATGGCATTTAAATAGTGGGGGAAAAAGTTATCATTAGAAGTATTTTTTATCCATTTTATTGTGCCTGTTGACTGTGGAAATTCCCAAAATAGTCTGAGACACATATGTGAAATATAGCTTATTTAGAACTTTGAGTTTTTGAAACATCCTTTTTTCAGGTGTGGGTTGTTTGGGTTTTTTTTTTTTAAAAAGACAGTGTTAGAGATTTGTTCAGCAGTGGAGTTCTGTTTTTTCAGTGAGAATAGTAGTTCAGTGAGAACCCCTTTGATTTTTCTGAAGTGTATTTAACTTGATTTCATATTTTACATCAGTACCATTATCTCCTTTCCAAAACCATTAAGTATTACTAAAGCCACCTAAATAAAACTACTGTAATCTTCTTTTTTTTTTTTAATTTTAAGTTTTATTTTGTAAGTTTAGTTTTAATAATCGAAGCATAAATATAATATGACTGCTGACTCTTTAGTAATTTTTTTTATTTTTCCTGTTTTAGGTATTTAAACTTCTGATTCAGTCACCACATGTAATGGGGAAGAAAACCTAATTAACACAGTTCTGGTGGAGGTTTTGTTTTTGTTTTAATTCCGTGGTGTTTGAGCAGAGATTTGAGGAAAAATTCAAGGAATGGAGTTAGCTCACAGTTTACTACTTAATGAAGAAGTGTATAACCAGCTTGGTGACTTTCAAAAAGCAGAGTTCATTTTTGAATGGTTACAGTTTTTGGAAAAACTTTTACCAGTGACTAGCAGAGTAAGTATAATGAGACTTGAGAAGAAAAGCGCTTTATAGAGCTTTTTCTCTCTGTCTTTTATGTTATTTTGTTTAATAACAAAAAGCAGTATTCAATTTCAGTTGCTTCATGTCTTCTGTGTACACACAGTGAAAGTATGTTCAGTGTTAGCTGTAACTTTCTAAAGATTACAAGTTTTTAGTCACAGCCCTTCAAGTGACAGAGCCATTTGTCCTATGGGAAGAATTTGAGAAATAAGCATCAAGTGATTTAAAAAAAAAAAATTGTTTTTTTAAAAACCTCAGATTATTTCTGCAAGATTTTGCAACCCCATGATGAAGAATGGCAGTGATGTTTCCACCTAGTATGTCACAATTACTTGGTAGACCTCTAGCAAGCAGG